GATACTTTCTTGTGGTGTTACTGCGTTTTCATGTGTTTAAACTTGTTATTTCTCCTCACTTAACATTAAGCAGTATGGTGATGTGTCTTGCAGCTGAAATGAGCAGCATCTTCAGAGGAAGAGGTGAATCTTTTTCCAGTCCCCTGGATCAGTCTCCAGATACTTACTTGTCTTTATCCTGTAAAAGGCCCGGTTCTGAAAATTCTTGACCATGAGAGTTCATATGCTGGGTTTGTCCTTAGATACCCCGGTACTACCTCCTAGAGTAAATGACCCAGGGAAGAAGAAGATACAGTGCAGGTAGGGCAGCGGTTTTTACCTCCCTTTCCTTCGTGGCATATAATTACAAGTCAGCTTTTCACACAGTTCCTTACTTGTTCGTGAGTAATTTGGGGGCCTTCTGTATGAGTGGATCCTGGGACAGACTTTAAAGTCACTCCATGACAAGTGTCCATATGTACTCAGCTCAAATGTTCAGTCACCTGTTGTGACCAGGGTAGCTGGGAGTTTGGATGCACAAGCATTCCCTTGTGAAATTAGGGAAGTACAAAGGCATGCAGAAATTATATGCACAAATTTGAGGGTAGTGTTGGAAAATCCGGCCTCCAGTATCTTTTCGAATCATCCAGTAAAAAGGAGTCTATGATTTTTGGAGATTTTTTTAATGAAAGGCTAAATTTTATGAATCTCCAGTCTAAAGTCTGCTCATATAACTGATATGCTTTTTTTTCCTGCCTAAGAATTTCCCTTGCATACACAGCAGAAAAACAAACAAACACAATTCTCTGTTATTTCCCTTAAAACCAAAGTCCTCTTTCCTAGCAAGATTAACTTGTCGACTAATCTTAGAGCAAACACTTTATTTCAATCTATCATTGTTTTCTGACTGTGGGTTTAGCAGAGGTCAGAAAAAGAGATTCATTAAAGTGATTGCGCATTTGTTTTTTCCAAAAGTACATCAGAAGATTAATGGTTTGCCAAAGAAAATAAAGAAATACAGTATTTCTTTTAATACACTTCAGCTAAATAAAGTCTTAAAATCACACGCCTTGGCCCACATGGGGTGTTTGCAGCATAAGGTACAAGTCATATAATTTCTACTATCTGAAAACTGCTTAAATGAGCTCTACTTCAGCCATGCCATTTCTTCAACACCTGAGGTGAAGTAACTCTGGTCCCTTCTCTGATGTAGAGCCATTGGAGAGCTGACTGCCAGTGTGTTTGTGCAAGTCTGTTTGCTTATATAAAGAACCCATTTAAGCTTCTCCACCCAAGAAACTCATGTTGATTTTGGATAATCCCTGGGCGATTTTATTCTGTAAAATAAATAAATAAATCTTCCAAACCTGTGACGCAGCCCAGCTCTCTCATATTTTGGACTATTAGAAGTGTAGCATTTGTGTTGGGGAAACATGAACTGACACGAGGCGTGGGCAATTTTATATTTGTCCAGAAGAAAAATAGGATGCATATTTCAATATAGGGTTATGTGACATTGGAGTTTCACCTGACAAGAGTGCAGGGTCAGTCTGTGATGAGGAGAGTTTTGCGTGTGGATCGCTAGACCCCACACTGCACCCTCATCCTCCAGTGTGGCTTCTCTAGGAGTAGTGCCAACATGATTTGGTTTGGCAACAAACCAGTATTTCAGAAGAAAAGAAAAAGTTGTATTAAACAGCTGAAACAAGTCTCTGGGGTGAGCATTGGCTGTCAGGACTCGCTTTCAGAGATCATATGTGTATGTGGCCAGTAGACGTGGGAATCTGAGCATCGTTGCTCTGAGTGGTGCTGAGCAGGGCTGCGCTGAGGATGCTTTGGCCCAGTGCAGTAGAACAGGTCTCCGTGATCATTGTCAATCATAACTAACCCATCCAATTAAAAATCGCTTCTGCAAGCTCTGCTCTGCTCTCCGCTGCTCCCTAGAAAGCGCTAGTGCAGAGGCTGGAGTTGGGTATGCTGAAGTCCTAAACTCAAGTCTGGGTGCATGAGGCAAAAGCCCCTATTTTCACTCTACTCTTAATCCCCACCTGTATGATGCATATCCTTCCTCGGGGTTCTTGCTTTGGCAACAAAGCTGGTTCTGAATAGGCACATCTCTGCTGAAATCAGTAATAGCAATAAATGTTGCCCTGAATCTCTATGCTGCTATTTATTAGGTAACTAATTATTAAATTAGATATCTAATGTCTTAAATAACTGAAATAATTAACTGTATTTGTCTAACATAGTTATCTACCTTAACTTTGAAAATGTTGAGACTGGGCTAGACTGTCTTTGCTGTATTGTTTATTAATTGCATTGCAGCAATGTTCAGCATCTCTTGTAGCAGATATTGAGTTTGTGTAGTGAAAAGCAGCTGTTAACCTCATGAGATTGAACAATACAAATAAAAATTTGTTTTGTTTCCTGCTTGGTTTCTGGGGTCTTGTGAACTGTGAGAAGTTCTCTAGAAGGTTTCTACACCTACTTTACCTCCTTTTCCCTTGCTCTAACCTGGAAATAAGCTGAAATTCTTTTAAAATCACTTATTTGCAAGAACTAAAGCTATGAATGGAATGTCAAACATTAAAAGACGTACTGATAAATCACTGGAGATGGCAGTGCCTCAGTAAAACAGTATGGAAATGATAGCAAATGTTTACAAGGGAAAATTGACCTGCTCAACCCAACACACAGTAACATACATATACTTAACATAACATAGTCTTTCACTTGTTGCTGTATCCATCATATTTCTAGTGGGCCATCATATTTCTAGTATTCTGTGTTTTATGTGTGTTATATATACCCTTAGTTAGACTTGCCATGTAGGCAGCCTACTCCTACATGAGGTTAAGCTGCTGTGTAAATAAATAAAAAGTAGGAAAGACAGCTTTTGCTAAAAATAGAAACTAAGTTTGAAAAAAAAAATGTTTTGGCCTTAGGCTTTTAGTTAGGCTTTTGGAAAACAGAACAAGCTTTTTGTTTTCCATTACTTGTAGAAAGCCTCATAGGCAAAATATTACTTCTCATCTAATTTTGCATTCCTTGAGTGTATTTTAGAGTGTTTTTCATTTAGAGTAAAATACTATAAATTATGCTGGGATATGATCATTAGTAGTTTTAGCAGAAATATTAGTTTAACTGAAGAGATTCTCTGTTGTGATCTCTGTGGTAATAGTTTAAGCTCAGAAAAAAGGCATCAGAACACATGCTTTAGCAATTATTTTTCTTCAAAAGGTTATGTTTCATACAGATGATCAAAAAGGCAATATAGTGCCAGCCCACTTAGGCTCCCAATTAATACTATCACTGTCAACCCCCCGATAACTGCACTACAGTAGTGTTAGTAATTTTTAGCATTTGAGGTTACTGACCAATTGCCATCAAATTTACCACATGCATATTAAAAAAACAGTCAGCCTTTATAATTTGATGAAGTATGTCCACAGACAGAGGCAGAAAGGCTTCTGTTATCACTCTCTCCAAGCAGGCACAAAACCAACTACATCTGAAATGCATCTATGCTGCTAGCTAACTTTCTCTTACAGTAGTTTTTCAGTGCCTTTGAGTTTCTTTAATGTATGTATCTTTACAGTATCTCTGCCTGATGGATACTTTCTTCCGCATCTATTTTTCACATAGAGAATTGATGCAGAGGACATCAAAAGAAACCAAGTGGGAAGTTGAACACCTAATACTTGGTGGGCTGGTTAGGGCTGTGTGTGTGCTACCTCTGCTAGCTGCTCCTGAATTGTTAGAGGTGGGTGGCTTTTGCCAGGAACCTATATGCTGTCTGTAGGACCATGGCTCAGTAATGAGCCAGTCCCCATCATGTGTCTGAACCTTGCTGCGAGGAGATTTGGCTTATTCCAGACTAAAGCTGCATTGCAAGTCAACATGTAAAAGATCAGGGGTTTAAACTGGAGTAAGAAATTGAGCCCTGAGATAATAGCATGGATTTAAGAGATTAAGTGATATTAGTACCAGTACATCTCTTTCAGATAAGCTATAGGCATACGTTCCTTCATGCTTTCTGCCTCTTTTCTTTCATTCTTTTTTTCAGTATGTATTCTTACAGTCTTTTCCATCGAGTAGTCCAGCTTAAATTAGAGTGGTGTGTCCTTAATATAGCTTTTAGTTTAGTGGATAGAGCACTTTTCTAGCAGATGAAAGAGTTGTGAACCCCCTTAGATTGGGGAACTTGAGAGCCATATCACCCACCTCATGAGCAAGAGTTAAAGATGCCCAAATTGCTGTAAATTGTTACAGGCACCAGATCATCCTTGTCTTGTTGACTGGCCAGGAAGCGAGTAGCAAAATCCTCATCGTAAGTGATTGCCCAAGCTCCTTTAGGAGGTCTCTGACAAAATAGGAATGAAATTGCACAATAACCTAGAACCATGAAGCTCTAACTTGATCTTCCTTTTTGTAGCTGGATTGACAATGGTAAGAACGTGCCTAAATAGGGGTAGTTTATGTAAGTGCTAGTGCTCCATGTTGACACATATGCATTTCGTATTTTTCCTCATTCCGTGGGACTTTTTTGTGCCTCTCTTTTAGACAGGAGATTTTGGATATCTGAACGTTCTTAGTGCATAATAACATATGATAGTTTGTCGTGAGTGAAGGGACTCTTGTTCCTGGCCAGTATTGCTATTGTAGGTCCTGATCTCTCAACGTAAAGTTGGATTGATTTAAACTGATCCATTGCCTTGAGTTTGGTGTTGTACTGAATGAAGGGGAACACAATGCTAGATGATGTGCCATCAAGTTCCATGTGTTTCTGTATCCTCCCCTGGTTCCCCAGCTACACATAAGGCTTCACATCCTGTACAAGGGATTCATCAGTCTGTATTTGCCAGTGGTGGTAACTTAAAATTCAATTTTTAAGGTTGGGTTTTGTTGGGGTTTTTTTAATTAAAAAGTTTATTTCAGAGTTTTCCAAAGAAGTGAAAAAAAATGAGATGTTTGAAATTTCTATTATTAAAACAAAGGACTTCTTTTCTTTTATGTTTCAGACACAGATATTAAGGAGCTAGAGGATGTTTTTGGACTTAACGGACAAGTAGAGCATAAGCTGAACTTCCTCAAAAAGAATGTATCTAAAGATATAAAGCTGGTACTGATTGCTCATTCTATTGGTTGCTACATCACGCTGGAGATGATGAAGCGAGCATCAGAACTTCAGGTACCTTAACCTTACAGAATGAGAGTTATATTATTAGCAAAGCAATGCACATGCTTAGCCTGTGGGTAATGCCATGTCTTTCCTGTGGAAGCTCTATTCTGCTATACACAAACTTTCAACTAAAATGAAATAAAAACATTAATGACTAATCCTAATAACATATAATAAAGTAGTTTGATGGAAAATAAAGTTCTTACTCTGAATTTGGACCTTTAAATGTCCTTGTAATATAAATTATTAATAATGGTGATAAATATATTTAGGACTTTCTTGTTGTCTTCTCATCTTTAAATAATTTATGAACAGATCACTAGATATTTGGCAATTACATTATGTTACTACACCAAAAATTAAGACTGGTTATGATTTTAATAGCAGCTTCTTATCTCAAGGCAAGCAGATTGCTGGCTGTACATGGGGAAATGTGTGGAAAAGAATAGCAATATAAATTGTGATGAGTACTACAATGAACGACATTGTTTTTAAAATTTAATACATATGCATATATCATTGCTTCTGCAACTCAGTCTTCATTTGTATAACTCAATGGGAGTGGGAGGTGTTACTGCATGTTCTTGTGTATCTGAACATTTTTGTTTGTTGCTGTGAAGCAATAAGAAGGCTGAGGCAGGACCGTGTCCTTGCAACTCTGGAAATGGTAAACTGTTAGTGCTCAGTAATAACTCACTCTACTAGCAGAGGATGAATGAAGAATACTGAATTCTTATTCTTAAACATTCACTCTTGCTAAATCATTGCCTCTTCCTTTACATTATAAAATCTTCAGTGGAAGGAAGTGTAGTGTTAGCGTAAAGTCTGTGTTTAATACATGCATAAATAGTTTCTTCCACTTCTTCATAACCATTTCCACGGCACGTCTAACTTTTTCTTTTTCCCCTTTAAAGGAAATGGCAACTAAAAACATGAAACATGAGGTTAACCTGATATATTTCCACAGACATAATTTACTTTGTGTTTATAAACAAGGGCATTTTTTTTGAGAGGACTTTTATTACTGTTTTATCTTTTAAAAAGGGAATGTTTAGAAAATATCATATGCAGTAATTTGTCCAAAAATATCAACTTTTCTTTGGTCAACATCTGTCCAGTCTTTATTACACAAATGATTTTATCTGGTTTCAACTAAACTATGATTTGTTGAGTAATTTTTTTACACCTGGCTCACTGGATACTGACAGCATGCTATTCATCAATGTTTTGAAATGTAGGTATCTTTGGGACATTCTTAGACTGCATGGTGCACTGTGTGCATGAAGTTAATATATGACAAGCTACATTTAAGATGCATTTAACAATAGAAAATACTTGTGTAAGCTAGAGTGTTGTGCAACCTTTGTCCCTTTGCCAAAAATAAGTTAACTGTTAGCTTTTATAACATATGAAGTGTGATAATAAGAAACTTGTGTTTCCATCTCTCCCTTTATTTTTACTGGAATATTTGATTCCCACAAGATTTTGAACACATATGTGTATTTTAGTAGCTAGATCATTTGATTTTATTTTTGTGTAGTTCTTATGTGATGTTCTTTTATTACATGAGTTTTGGGTTTGGTCTTACATTCTCTGCTTTAAGAACCTTTAATTGCTTACAGTTCATTATTCCGAGCTAGAGGTTAATGTGTTGTATTTATTGTTCAAATAATTTAGTAAATGTTTATATTTGGAGCGTATGTTTAGCAGATTTGATTTTTGTTACCCAATTTAAAGCCCTTTCATAATCTAACCAGATATAGACTAGATTGTCCCTCTCTTGTACAATGATGAGGGAACCTGATGAACCTTAAGCTAGCATGCATGAAAAGGAGAAAGTACTATCTCCTTATCTCTCCTTCTTGGTTGCTCTTCAGCTGTCGGTTTTGAATGCTGCTAATTTCTTGGGCCCTAGTGCTCTGCAGGTTAATGGGGTACTGTGGTTTTTTTTCTTAAACTTCTGTGAAATATGCTTTCTTCTTTCATTAAAACAGATATGAAACAGGAATTGCTAGTTTACCCCAGGATAAATTCAGTTTTGGACCCCATCCCTATTTTTCTATTGACTCTCAGGGATGCTTCTGTTAACAGTTTCTTCAGGAGACCCCTTAACACAAACTTAGTCTTAGGCTGATGCCTTTAACTAAGTCTAATCAGTAGAGAAGAACCACACAGGTTACATCCATAGTTGTAACTAAGTGGGGCTACTGCATGGATTTGAGTACTGGGCCAGCTATGCAGTGACGTTTTTGGACTAGTCTCTAAGAGACTTTTTGGCCCACAGCAGCCAGCAAGTCCCAGGCAACACCCTGGCATGGTTCTGGGCTTGGCAGAGGCCCGGGGCCATTCCCAGTAGTTAGTTTGGATGCAGACATCCTGGTGTTAGGCGGGGGAAATTCCGCCATGTGGACACAGACCATCCTATGCCATCCTGTTCCACGGCAGGACCAGGGAATAGTTCCCGGCCATTCCGTTTGCTGGCACACATGTAACTGTGAACATTTCTCAGTTGTCATGGTGGGCATCAAATCTTAACAAGGTTTGTCTCTTCGTGGGAAGTGGAGCATCCAGAGTTTGTCAGACTGCTAAAAAAATTTGATACTGGGAAGGAAAAATGTTAATCAGCCTTACTGTGTGGAGATGGAAAAATGCAATAACGTACAGCTTACTTGATACTTGGTCTTAACCTCATAATCTTCTTCGCTCTTCATTCAGCCAGCAGAACTGAAAAATGAAGCTGAGTGACAAAATTGTTTTCTTAGTTGTTGGAGCTTGAGCCCAATTCATAAATATGCTACATCCTAGAGGCATTCTCTTCTAAAATACAAATCCTTACTTGGAGGATTTCCGTGTCCTTTGCTGGCGACACTACTGGGTCTTTCCTAAAACAGTCCGTTTGATCATTAATTTAACCAAAAGATTGACATATTTCCTTGCTAATGACATTCAATCTGTTACAGCATTAGTCTTTCATTTGCAGTGATGCTTTTGAAATGCCAGCACCTTTGTGGTAATAAATTAACACTTATTAATGAGTGAAACATCACAGAATGTAAGCATTGCTCTTCCTGTAAAACTCATTGAGGAGGAAGAGTTTAAAACCTCTGAGTATGTATCAGTTTAAGCAAATAAAATTTCTGTAATATATAATTCAAAACCATGCATTGCTACTATGTCTCAGCGGTGCCAAAGATTATTGAGTATTGCTAGAACTTAGTTGATTTTATAAATAATAGCTAACAAAACATAAGTTGTAATAGTTGTGTATAAAACAAGTTCACACCTTGGAAACCCTGTCACATCATTTCTGTGCACACGTTCGTGTGCATCTACCTTATCTTTCCTTCACTGTGTTCTCTTCCAGACAGAAATCTGTTGGTCTGTACTTTCTTTCAAGAAATCTGCTGAGCATAACAAAATAACATAGTTCGCATTTAACGATTCCACAAATTTATACAGTAGCTTAACCATATTTTCATGTTTTTTCTTTTGTCTGTATATGAATTGCATTCAGGTCTTTCACTTGAGGAGCTACAACTTGTTCAGGATCTGGTAATGTACGTAGCTTAGAAGGTTTCTGCAATGTGTCTTATTCTTCATAAATCAGTACTGACTTTCACCCATCAGGAAGCTGTACGCTAACCAAGCTTTCTTGAGTTAAGCAAACATTTCTTCATTGCTGACTATTCTAAATTATTTTATGATGTATAAAATGTTGGTGCTATTCATTCCCTTTTACAAATAAATTAAACATGCCTAACAGGAGGTATCGGGCATTTTTTGTTAACCTTTTGAACTACTGAAATTGGCTAGATATCCCTGCTGTTGGTTTTCTGTCTGTTTAGCCAGTTTCTAATCCATATAAAAATGTTTCTCTCACCCATTATTAGTATTATTAGTGGTCACAGGGATTGAATGACCTCAGCAGGAAGCATTTTGTTGGAGTTTTTTGAATATAGTTATTTTAGATGATGCTCCTATATGTGCATGGTAGCTTTATTTCTGTCTTCTTTTTTAAAATTTTCAAAATACTTAGTTAAAAAAGCAACGGAGCTTTCGCCTGTAAAACATTATTGTTGTTACTTCTGATGTTAGAAAAAGCCAGAAATATATTTTATCATTCTTTTTTAAATTTAGCTGATAATAGATTAGTCTTTCTTTTCTGTCATTCCAAAGTTTCTGTTGTTGCATTGTTAGTAATGGGGTCCTCATTTTGTGGTTTCATACTTCAACCAAAAGGCCACGTTCCATCTGTTGTGAACAGCTTGCTTGGAAACATTGATGGCCTACAGGTACACAACAGAATGACAGATGTCACGACTCTGTTAGCTTTTTTTTTTCTATTTTCTAGAAATCTGCTTCTTCCCGATTACCTGCAGCCCTTTGCAACACATCTTAGTGGGAGAAGACATCTCTGCACATGGCCCTTCTGACAAAGACATTGATTGGGATATGAAATTTCAGAAACGCTCTTCTCTTTGCCATCTCTTGGCCAGGGAGGCTTTTTTTTTTCCAGCATGTGTGAGAAATTACCTGTATATATAGAAGTAGTTTGTTTTACAAGAAGCTTTACTGAAACAGCGAAAAATGGCAATAGATAGTTTGCATTGCAGTGTATCTTTGTATGCAACATAAAATGCAATAAATTATTATTCACTTACAGAAGAAATGAAAGAAATCTCTCTTAACAATGTGTGAACATCAATCCATAAATACTGTTTTGCAATAAGACAGAATATAAATTTTAAAGCAAACTAGCTGTTCCTGAATAACTCATGTAAAACATTCTGATTCTAAACCAAATGTCTTTTTCTGATATAGCTTATCTATTTTCAAAATAGCTTAAGATAATGGTTTTGAATGTATTCTAGATTCATTCTGGACAAGAGTGTTCACACATGAAGTTATTCAGGAATATTTCCATGTTTAGATATTCTTTACTCAGGCTTTAATTTATCAAGTCTGTTGGTCAACATCAGTTCTGTAAGTTATCAAAGCTTTTCCAAAGT